GTCTGCATACTTGTCCAACTTCCTGAACCTGATTATGATGCATGCAGGGATACTGTCAAGTTTCTTCTGTTTTCAGTCATGAGCAGTCTGCACAAGCTGAATTCACCCCTTGGCTTAGACTCCTACCCTACTCCTCTTCCCCTCCCTTTGTCTCTAATTCCAAATAAGGAGTGCTCCTTCTTACATAACTGGATGTTCCCAGCACAGAAGCTGAGGTCGAGCTTGCATGAGTGCAAGCCTCCCCTTTGACTTAACAATGCCTTTTTTGGGTATCTAAATTCTCTTCAGCTCCCCTCCTCCACTTTCTCCACACCATCAACAATCAAGGGAGATTTATGAAGCCTGCTCAAATCAGAACTCTTCCAACCTTGGCTTTGAAGGAGGGGCTATGAAGTTGAATTACTCTTTTTTTTTTTTTCCTTGATGGAGGAAGGGAGAGAGGAGAGGAGAAGAAGAAGAGAAGAGGGAAGGAGGGAGGGAGGGAGAGAGAAAGAATGCTTATGATTTGGCAGAAGTCCCTGGCATCCAAGGCAGTTATCTATATAGGTCTGTTAAAGAAGCAAGGAGAGTAAACGAAACTAGAAACAGAAGAAATTACTTTATCTTCTTGGAGATGATAATGCTGGAGGTTAGAAAATGATAACATTTTAAAGAAGAGCTATATCCAAATCTAGATGGGTGTACCATCCCTGCTAACTGCAATATGTTCAAAATAACCAGAGAAGTGGCAACAATCCCCTATAAAGTGCAGAGCTCAAAGAAAGAGAACCCAAGGACTCTGCAAAAGGATATGGCTCAGATACTTGTGGTTTCAGAGAGAAAACAAACATATTGCCTCTTGGGCAGCAGTCACAGGATGGGGATAGTCTCAGAGAGGTCAACACTGAACTGGCTGGGCCCATGCCACACCTCTTGCGAGAGTAGTAATGGTAGTGGGGGCAGTGCTACAGCTTTGGGGAGATATCAAATTCCAGCTTATTTGCTTACTAAAGCAAATAAAGCCAAAGAATGTAACAGTGCATGAACTTCTTTTTAAAAATAAAATAATGCAAGCTGTCGGAGACAAGAAACAGACTGACTTCAGGATAGCGCAGTGCCCTTTGTGTTGTGAGGGTACATACGTGGAAATGCAGTTTAAATTGTACAAAATGAATGTAATCTCTTGGGGAATGTAATTACTGAGTCAGATTTTTGGATTGGCTTTTATCCCCTCAAATCACAAGGCAAAAGTCTATTCGTGAGATAGTCATTACAGCTAAAAATGAGACAACCCTGGGTTTAAATTCTGCATATGGTATACTTTTTAGCTCTGCGATATTGATTAAATAACCACAATTCTTTGTAAGCCTTAGTTTCCTCATCTTTTAAATGTGGATCTTAGTATTTCTTTTACAGGGCTTTTGATGGGATTAAATGATATAATATACTTGTAGTATTCGGCAGTGTCTGCATAAAGTAAACTCTCAAAAAATGTTTGCTGGATGATAAATATCCTGAAGCTGATAAGATTCAGTCTACACACTGAATCCTGAAATAAGCTCTATCTTTTGCATGTGTACCACATACATGGGAACTTGCTGGTATGAGACCATGGGCCACAGGCATCAGATCCTTCGAGTCTCTGGAAGGAGAACTGGGATTTTTTCTCCAGGTGTTCATCACTTCTTGACTATCATCTTAAGGAAGCTTCAAGAACATTGTGAAGCCAGCACAAGAAATTTGAGAAGAGAGCCAAGTATATTCTGTATAACTCAGAGGGACAGGCACAATAAGGATAGTAGTACCTATAAGAGACTGGCATGGGGTGGGGGGCATCTTGTAGGCATAAACAGTAGAACAAAGTTGGAGGCCACTAACTGGAGAAATCAGAAAGAGAAAATACTTTTTATCCTTCTTTCCTTTTTCTTAAGAGCATATATCAAGACTTAACATTTACTGGATGTATTCTATGCACATAAGGAGATAGATACCATTATTATTCCTGTTTTCCAGATGAGGAAACCAAAGCTCAAGGAGATTACATACAGCAGAGTAGAAGTATATTGTAGTGAATAAGAACTTGGGCTCTGGAATAACTGGTTTGATTTCTGGCTACACTATGCATTAGCTTTGTGATCATGGATAAGGCCCTCAGTTCTCACCCCCACTAATCTGTAAAATATGTGAAGAGTAGGGAATGTGCCTTTTTGTTCACGACTGATCAGCTCTTAATATTTTTCCAATGAATAAAGGAATAAGAACAAAACAATTCCTATGTAGGACAAAGAGATAGGAGCATTTTAATGTAAAGTGGGATGAATGCTACAAAACATCCTGGACAAATTTCTACCAATCAAATCAAGAAATAGCTTAGATTAGAATGCATATGTTTAATACGTTTACTTCTTTACATCCCAACCACTCTATTTTTGTTTTTTTCTATCACTAGAGAATGTATAATCATTGCCCACTGAAGTATTGCAACCTGGTGCACTGGAATTCTCACAATTCTCTTGTATTTAAGTTTCCCGTTTTAGATCCTCAAGAACCCTAGCTACAAAAAAATACCTCAATGATTTTCCTATAATTCCCAAAATATATTTCTATTTTATCTGGTACTGGCCCAAGTCCTTTCGTATTTTGAGTAATTTAAACTTCAAGTAAACTTCTTCCTTCCTTTGTTATATGTGAATCTCAATCTTTTTGAATTTCTCCAGACTCATCTATATATTTCTGTTCCAACTGAATAATTTATTGTGTTCTAAAACCGATTGATCATGTACATTACTTCAAGAGAGAGGGGGTAATCAACTGTACATACTAGTTTTAGAATCTTCCCATTTGTTGAAAGCACTTGGAAGATCAGCAAAGGGAAGCCTAATAGAGGGAGAAGAGAAATGAAGCCTTAATTAGAAACACAAGTGATTGAATAAAACGTAAGGAGATTCTACTTTTAAGTATAAAGGTATTGAGAAATGTTTATTCTTTTGTCCAGTATTTAATGAACATCTTCTTTGTGCCAAGCCCTGTGTAAGTTGCTAGAGATATAACGCCAGTTCTAGGAATACGGAACTGATAGTCTAGAGCAAGGTTTCTCAACCTCTGCATTACTGATGTTTTGGGTAGGATAATTTACTGTTGTTTGGGGTGGAGAAGGTGCTGCTCTGTGTAATGCAGGATGTTTAGCTGCAACCCTGGACTCATTAGATGAAATAACTTCCTGCCTTTCTTCCCAGCTGTGACAACCAAAAATGTCTTCATATATTGCCAGATATCCCCGGGGGAAAAATACTCCCTGGTTGAGGACCACTAGCTTAGGCAAAGTAGATTATCTCTTTATTACACTGTGATATGTATTATCACCAAAACGATGAGAGTAGAGAAGAAGGCTCCTTAGTTCCGGGGGAAAGTGGAAGAAAATATACAATTTCACAGAATAAGTGACATTTATCATTCAATTTCTGGAAGATATTTAGCAGCAGGCCAAGCAGACAAGAAGAAGGAAAGTCTGGGACATGTGGGAGGAAGTAGAATGAGTAGCGAAGTCCATTCAGGCAGAGACAAGAGGATGAGCAAAGGTTTGAAGACAGACCACAGAACACTCAGGCAACAATGGATTGTTTGCATGGCAGAGAACTGGAAATAAGGCCAGGACCAGATCGTGCCTAAAGGCAGAGACTAGTCAGCATTTTACATATGGGTTTCACTCAGAGACCAGTCTCTAGGCTGTAATACTCAGGAAAAAGCACATTGACTTTGGAGTTGTGCACAGCCAGCTTTAAATTCCAGGTGGGTCATTAACTATGACCTTGGGCAGGTTAGTTGACCCTGCCGAGTACTATTTTCTTATTCTGTAAAATGGGGCTACCTACCTCACTTAGTTGCTGTAAGAAAATACACGTAGACAGAGGTCATGTGCCAGCATATGATACACGCTCAGCAAATATAAACGTGCACCCTCTTCTTCCATTTAGCTTTTTTATGATTAAAGCTTATTAAGCTTCCCTCGTTCTATGTAACTTTGAGTGTGGAAGATTTAACTGCTTGTTGTTAATGGATTTTCTACAAGTTGTAGAATAGATAAACATTCTTTTTTTAAAAGAAGCTTTTATTTTTGGAGAGCCTATTAGCATGAACCATAGGCTAACAGAAAAGGTCTGGATTTGGCTTCTTACTCTGTGATTACTAGGACGTCTCAAGAGACTGAAATCAAAACAAGTGTGGCCAAAGCTCAAGCACTATATAGGTCTATCTGGTTCAGAGATACTCTCTGTCTTTCTTCAGTTTAGCAAAGCTTGCATCAGTTTCATGGTTAGGAAATCAGCAGCTAAAAACTCCATCTGTGTACAAATCTTTTAGGAGATTCAAGTGGTGCTGGGATCACAAAATCTGAATTATAAAATCCAAGTTTTAAATCTAAGTTCTGTTCTATTTCTTACCACCCTCTGTTAGTAAGTACTTCTTCAGTTGTGAATATTTACAGCTCTTTGGAGAAAATAATCTTTGAGAGCACCTGTTGTCTCCTTGTTTTTCTTATTTTTATTGTCACAGTGACTATATTTTGTCACTTAAGAGAACTGTCCATTGAAACAAGGTGAAAAGTACAGGGCTTGGGGGTATAACTGGGTAGAGAATTGATCCCGGTGTAGGAAGAGTTCAGCTGAAGTACTTTAAGATCACAGGAAGTGTGTGTAACTCACTCGTTATGCCAGAAGTCCTACAGAAGCAGACCCATTAAAACTTTAGACAACAAGGTTACTAATCAAAGCTTTCTAATACTCTCCAGGCAGTCTTCAGCCTTGTACTTCTATAACAGAGACTCTACCTCCCCTTATGGCCACAGGGTTCTTGCATTCT